AAAAAAAAAAAAAAAAAAAAAAAAAAAAAAAAAAAAAAAAAAAAAAAAAAAAAAAAAAAAAAAAAAAAAAAAAAAAGAGAAAAATAATAAATTGGAAACATTTAAGATTTACTTTTTTTAACAATATTAGAATAATTATTTTAAGATTGTTCAAACAATTTTTGGTTCGGTATAAGCCATATTGCAAATAATTGGTACGAGCAATAATTAGTCCATGGATTGGGTTTTGTAAAAAGGCCAATTATTGTTTATCAGAGGAGAAACGAAAAATGTATCATAAAACTTACAAGGTTTAACTTTGTTGTTAAACATGTCGCATTTTTTTAAAAAAGGAAAACTTTAGATGATCATTTGTTTTAATAATTGGATTATACGAAAGTAAACATATACATTGTTTTTTATTTAAAACAGGAAATAATCTTTATTGAATGCGGTACAAAATTCCATAAATTTACAAGAACATACCAGTTAAATTTTTATTGTGTTTATTAATAGATAATAAATCCCTTAGAAACGTTATAATTTATTAATTCTATTTTTAATATTGAAAACAATAGGCATTATTAAAACATAAATTATGTGAACCAAAAAATAAAATATGGTATAGGAAGAAACAATAATAATAATTCCCGTAATTCCCGGTAATAAATTTTTGTTAAACATAAGATTAAGAAATTTAAAATTAGCAAACTCTCTTAAAAAATTTATTATCTTTTCCATTTAACCCAAAAAATTTACGGAATTAACTATACATTATTTGAACATAATATATAAAGTTCATATTATATTATGCTCAGATGAAGATTAAGTTCTGAATGGCATCCAATCTATCCAAATCTTCTGCATTGACTTTCGAATTTGACAAAGTCCGAATTTTAATTTTTTTTTTTTTTTTTTTTTTCGCGATCTCTCGTTTAAGAAAGTTTAAAGGACTTCGCCACTTGTGAAAAAATGATGATATAAAACTATATAAAACCGTTAGGACGGAAAAAAATTTCCGCATAAATTCAAATAAAACATGAAACAATTCTAATAATAGTATTGATGTTAAAAAGACCCCTGAGTAGGATTCTTTAGACATAATTAAATTTTTGAACAAAGGGTTTGAAATTCTACATATTGTGTTATCAAATCAAGTTATGATTTGCAAAGATCTTTGTGACGTGATGTGGCGTGGGTATACTTAAACTTCCAATCATATTTAATTATTGCACGTGATTAATCATTTTTCTCTAACGTTTTCCTCCCTTTATTACCTTTTTATTATAAAGAATATATATGACCTTTTTTTAAAAGTAATAAAAAAAAAATGAAATTTATTTTTAAATCATTTAAACGAAAGAAAAAAATAAAAATAAATTGACGTTCAATCGTAATTGCATTGCATGATATATTTACAATAACCTAGAATTTACCCTTGTAATTTGAAACAACCTTTGTTTTTTCCCAGGAAGCGGGTGAACTTACCACATTAGGTTGATTTTTTAAGCTTAAATTCATTATTTTTAGAGACCAATAATATAAATTGACATTATAAATTCAAAATTTTTTTAACGTGGGATGTACGGTTTGCCACAAGTTTGAACACAATGATCGGAATTTAATTGATTTATTTATTTTATTTTATTGAACCTAAAAAATTTACAAGGAAATAAACAAACAAATCTTACTTTTACAAAATCTATTTTTAAGAAAAAAGGTTTGAAACAAATTAATTGATATATATCCCTAAACATGTTAGAATATTCTCCATTTTTGGTATGTAAATTGATTGCGCCGAACATATTTAGTAAAATATTGTAGAATTTTTTTAATTTTAGAATAAACTTTTTTATAATATAATTTTTTTTTTTTAATTTATTAGAAAATATACTTCGTTCTTTTATGGTAAATATAATAACATAAATGAAATAAAAAAGGAAATAATAATTATAAAGTTATTTTTTCAAAGAAATTTTCAAAGAGTGAATTACAAAGTTTTCTTTTTAATTTTAAAAGAAAAATAATATGGTAAAGATTTCTTAAAAAATAATACAATCAGGATTTCCTTTTTCGAAATCATCCAATTTAACAATATCATCTATATACAGTATGTTGAAACAAGGAAAATTATATTATTTACCAGGATAGTGGACGTCGAAATTGGTACGTTACATTACATTATGAAATATCCGTTCGCTTTTTGCATGTTTCGTATATCGGTTCTTTTTCATGAAACATTATAATTATGGATTGGTTTAATTCACCAAATTTGTCGAACAGAATTTTTAGGTTGTTGGTTCCGCATTTCATAAAACTTTTTTTTTTTTCAACATTGTAAGTGAAACAAAAGATTGTTGTGTAATGTAAATAAATATTATCCCCCGTCTCAATTGTCGGATATTTCATGTTTAATATGTTTAACACGCAGGGGGTTGTGGGGAAATTTTAGTTTTGTTATAAAGTTTTAACAATTAGATAATATATCTAATTACGGTTGCCAAATAAGGTATTACAGTGTAATTGAATTTCTATAGTATAAAAAAAAAATATATATATATATTGATTAAAATGTTATTTCCTAAATCAATCTTTTCATTATGTGAAACCAAAGAATATTGTCTTTTCATTCTAATAATAAATTAATTAATCTTAATAAGCTTAATAAGTAATATTTTACCTTAAACAGTACAACAGTGATTCATCTTCGTAAAGATTCTTCATATTTAGAAGTTCAATCAATAAATTAATTAAAATATATTAAAAAAAAAATAATACAGTCTAACNACAGATATAATACTGAACACGAAATTCGAAACATGAATTATTATTTATTTTTTTATTTTTTTTTTTTTTAAAAAAAAAAAATAATGACGGAGAAAGGAAACTAATGTCAATTGTTAAAAAATTACAGTTGAACATTATTTCCAATTAAAACTCGACTATATGATAAACATTACGATAGCCATGTCCAAAAAAGTTATGATAATGGAAAATCATATAATTTTTAGCAAACCTCCTGAAAATCAAACAATTTTTTGTACAAAAGACCGATTGATTGAGTTACAAATTGCCTCTTTTGTTAAGAAAACTTGATTCAAACCTGTATATAGGAAAATCAGAAACTGAACTCCGTTCGGCCGTCCCGTTTTGTAAATAGACAATCAAAATATTTCTTAATTAGTTAATTTCTGGCAAATTTTGCCAGCATTACTTACCATTTTAAGGATGTGCATACACGTAAGAAAAAGTAATCTTGCATCATATGTTTGTTATTTTTATCATATCAAATTATAGTGAGAAACATAAAATTTCACTTTTACTATTTCTATATTAATCTTGAAACAGTACACCCTTATAACTATAAAGTGTCATTATTTTTTTTTCTTTCTATTGCTTGGTTACACTTATCAACTTATCAACTTTGTAATTTCAATACAATCACCCTCCGTCAGCCAATGAACTTGTTACTTTTTTTTTCTTTAATAATTAAAAGTTTAAAAGATTGCAAAGGTAATAATAAATTCATTTCTTTAATTATAGAACGATGTTCATCTGTTCATGGCGGATCATGTATATTTTACTATTTTACATTAACAAACTTAATAATCAAATTTTTATATTCCAAATGTAATTATTGTGAGTGGTGGGTAACTTTTCGATTATTTATTGTATCTGTAAACTTGTTTATAATATGTTTATTTTTGCATCTATTTCGTCTATTTCATTAATTTCTTTATTTTATTCTTCCAGTATTAGTTTATTTTCTAAACGATTCACCATCAGGGTCAGTTACAACCTCAAAAATCATTGGGTAACTTAATACTTATATAACTTATATACTTATATATCAAGAAATCTTTTTAACCTGCCTAGTTTTTATTATTTTTATTACAAAGATAAAATTACCAAAAAAATGCAATTCAGAATTTTATTTACCTGCTTAGTTTTATTATGAAGATAAAAAAAAATACAATATCTAGATTTTTAAAAAATAAAAATAACTATTTGAATTAATTAAATCATAATCATAGCACTTCAATGGTTCTAGAAGTATATGTGGTCCATTTTTGGAATTTATGAAAAATATTGCAAATATTTTAA